ACCGTCTCATTCAGGGTCCACTGGACATGTACTCTGTATTGACAGGGTCCTTAAGAAAACTACTCTGAGAGTGTACACAAAATTTCAGGCTCCTCTAAAGCACTACTCTGACTGGATCAGTGTTCAAAACTCGTTAAATCTGATTTTACATGGACCACACAGTGACAAGTCTGAAATCACCATGAAACCAGAGTAATTACCCTGATTAAAACAACCCTGCCCTGCCCTGTAAACGAACAGTACATGGTAAATCCACTAACACTGATAGACGAATAATTGTACCCGGGTCTTAAAAACTGCATGCCACCTATATATTCACCCTTGCTAGTTTTTCTGCTTTTGTGGAGAGTCCACCGGGTCCTATAGCCGGAATAATACGGTACGGTACCTCCAATTGGTCTAACAAAGTTGAAGTGCTATCAGTTTTCCCATTCACTTCCCCTACAAGTGCTTATTATCGTTTTATGCGTCAGCCTGCTCACAGCCCCAATCCACATGGCTCGCATGGTGGCGCTTACCGTACTACTTAGTCTACAAGAGCCACTTGGGCCCAACCTGTGTGCATGCACTATGATCGGCCAGGCACAACGACCCCAGCGGCGAGCAAAGAGCGGTCCTTGCGGATGGCAGCAGGCAGATGCAGGTCAAAGAGGTCGCAGCGAATGGGCATCTCCACCTGGTGTGCATGGCGTGGCGGGGGGGGGGGGGGGGGGGAGGGGGGGCAGACACGTGTTCACACTGCATCAAATGCATGGCACTACAACAAATGCATGGCACTACAACAAATGCATGGCACTACAACAAGTGCATGGCACTACAACAAATGCATGGCACTACAACAAGTGCATGGCACTACAACAAATGCATGGCACTACAACAAGTGCATGGCACTACAACAAATGCATGGCACTACAACAAATGCATGGCACTACATCAAATGCATGAAACCACGTCTAATTGCAGTGTGGGAGGGTTTTTTAGCACATAGTCGGTGTAGAGGGGCACCTCATAAAAGGGGTTTTTTAGCACATAGTCGGTGTAGAGGGGCACCTCATAAAAGGGGTTTTTGAGCACATAGTCGGTGTAGAGGGGCACCTCATAAAAGGGGTTTTTTAGCACATAGTCGGTGTAGAGGGGCACCTCATAAAAGGGGTTTTTTAGCACATAGTCGGTGTAGAGGTCGTAGATGATTGCGAGCAGCGTGGGCGCCCCCGTGAAGCCCACCTCCGTGGCTATGAAGAACTTGGTGCCTGCGGGCGGAGAGGGGGGAGAGTGGGTTCAAAGGGAGGAGATGTGGGGTGCGCGAGAAGGGTGCGCTGGTTGAACGGGGTTTTGGGGCAGCCATGCCCTGAGGAGGCTGACTGTGCAGCCTACGTTACTGTCGACGCCCAAACAGGGTAACGTCCAGCATCCTTGCGCAGTGTCTGGACGCTAGACGTTCAACAAAACGTTTTTTGGCTACCCGAAAAAATAATAGGACTGCCCTAATATGCCCCAAGGGTACGTCGTCCATGAGGGGTCGGATGAGGAGGAGGAGGAGGAGGAGGAGGAGGAGGAGGAGGAGGAGGAGGAGGAGGAGGAGGAGGAGGAGGAGGAGGAGGAGGAGGAGGAGGAGGAGGGCGCAGTGCTTTTGGACTGGATGAGTACGAGACATTGGACACGTCCATGGTAACATGGTGTGCAGCTCAGTGAATTGCACGGTGTGGTAGGAAGATAAGGGGTGTCAGAGGGATGTGGGAAGGGAAGAGAGGGGGGCGTAGATCCATGAGGAATGGGACGGGGCAGTGTGGCAAGGAATGAGGCAGAGGGCAATAGAGAGTGGAGAGCTGGTGCTGCTCACAGTGGATTACCAGCCAATCTGAATGGCAACATTCCTGTGGGTGGAGTTGACGGGTGGGAGGGCACCTGTGAGCGTCTGGAAGCAGTGCAGGTCGAAGGTGCCCGCCTCCAGCATCTCGATGCCGCCACCGTTGGGGATGGGCGACAGCTGTTCACAGAGGGCCACGGCAAGAGGGGGATCTCGCTTCAACAAGCTGTCGGTCTGCGCTACATCTGGGTGTCACATGCGGCCATGGCATCAAGGCATGGATGTAGGGATGTATGCATCACACAGCCGCTATCAGCCATTGACAGCGACACAACTCACAGCCGGTCACAGCCACTCAAAGCGACTCATAACCACTCACAGCCACTCACAACCACTCACAGCCACTCACAGGCACTCACAGGCACTCACAGCCACTCAAAGCCGCTCACAGCCGCTCACAGGCGTTCACAGGCGTTCACAGCCACTCACAGCCACTCACAACCACTCACAGCCACTCACAGGCACTCACAGGCACTCACAGCCGCTCACAGCCGTTCACAGCCACTCACAGCCGCTCACAGGCGCTCACAGGCGCTCACAGCCACGGCCAGCCACGGGCGGTGTGTGGTCACCTGCATGGCGATGGCGTGCAGCCCGTGCCACGTGGACGCCAGGCGCAGAGAGTCGTTCGTGTCCAGCCGGTTCAACGAACCAAAGTCCTGCGCGCGCCAGGGGGGGAGGGGGGGAGAGAGGTGAGGAGATGGGGGAAAGCAGGGATGGGGAGGTGCGGGCTTGGGGGAAAGGCGTTGGGAGGTTGACAGTTTGAGTGAGTTCAAGATACGGTTGCCGTGCTGCTCCAAGGTTTGGACTTTTGACGTTGGGGGCCATTGCAGGGGCGGGGACGGTGCGGAGTTGGAGAAAAAGATTTTGGGGGGAAGGGGGGGTGGAAAGGGGGTTGGGGGGGAAAGGGAGTTGAGGGAAGGGGAGAGGAAGGGAGAGAAGGGGTTGCACAGCAAGGGACAGACTAGGAGAGTCGTTGATGGTCTGCTGCAGCTGTGGTGGAGAAGGGAAGAAGGGGGGGATTTGGGAGTTTGTGAGAGCGAGGGGAGGGGATGGAGGAGGCGTAGGTGGGAAGTGCGAAGGCGTTTGACGAGTGGGACAGGAGGGTAAGCAACGTGCGGGATGTCGAACATTCACAGCAACCTCTGGCGTGGAGCGGCGACGCGGCGAGCAGAGCTCTGCAGCATTGGGAACATGTGTGAACGCGACGTGACGAGCACGCATTCTTGCAGCGGCAATGGACGAGGTGGAATGATGGAATGCGTCATGGAGGAGCGAGACGAGTGCTGTGGACGTCGCCATCATGCTCTTAGCAGCCATCATGCTCTTAGCAGCCATCATGCTCTTAGCAGCGGCACGGAATGCTCTTAGCAGCGGCACGGAATGCTCTTAGCAGCGGCACGGAATGCTCTTAGCAGCGGCACGGAATGCTCTTAGCAGCGGCACGGAATGCTCTTAGCAGCGGCACGGAATGCTCTTAGCAGCGGCACGGAATGCGTGCGTGCTCAGTGGGCGGCAGCACGCGGGAGGGACACGCCTTGTAGTAGATGAGTCCGCCCGACTTGTTGATGATGAACAGGTTGAACACCGGAGGCGCGCCCGCCGCCATGCTGCTCGCGACGCTCGCGATGATGACGGCGACGGCGGTCACGGCGATGCCGCCCACTGCCGCCCACCGGACGAGATCTGTATGGATGGGATCGCGAAAGATTCGCTCCGCCTCCTGCTGGACCTCCGGCTTGTTAGGCTGCTGTGCCGCTACCGTTGTGCCTACCTAATCTCTGAACGTAGCGCTGGTGGTACGAGAAGGCGTCCAAAACGGGATGTTCACCTATCGCGTGGATGTTACAGCTGAAACGATCGAGCTAAGCGCGAACGGCAAGGGGGAAGGAGAACCTTCTCGGGTGTTACACACACCGCAGCTCTAGGGCCTGAAAGCTGAGAAGCGTGAGACGAAGAAAAACCGATTTGGACGAGGGTTGCGTTGTGAGCAATGTGGGAATTAGTTGATAGCCTGTAATGTCCAACCAACGCAGGCCTGTTCCGGGGGCATTACAGTAGATGGGTCAGTCTCGGTTCCGATCCGAGTCGCGTCGCTTATTGGCGGGACAGCCAAAGCCCGAGGGGGGAAGGAGTAGATTGTGCGGGCGAAAAGTGCAAGGAAAATCGACTCTGAAACTGGGTTTCCACACCAAGCAATCGAGAAGCTTTAGTCATCTATCGCCGACAACGGCTGCGGAATCGTGAATACTCCAGCCCGAGCAAATCAGGCTGGTGGGCGAAACGTAGAGCGAATTTCGACGGACGACTTATGAGGTGGCGTTCTTCCACCCCAATTTCAGTTAGCATTATGAGGCTTGCACTTAGGGCGGGTCATATTTGTCAATAGTCAGGTCAAATTGGGCCGCTACAACCATTTTTCTTAGGGTAACTGCTCCGGATGTTGAACCGGATGACGACAGATCGCCGCTCAGGGATGCAAAAACGTGCGTCATGACAGTAGTAACTGTACGTGAAGTTTTTGTTCAGATTTCGCACTGTTGCGCTGACGAACCCGCCTCACCCTCGGCAACCGACGTAGCTGAATTCTGCGAGATTTATTTATCTCGCACATCTCTCGCCCATCGCCTCGAACGCCAGCTTCAGCGAGTCTCGCGATGTTCAGAGCGGAGCGAAGCCGAGCGTGTGCAGAGCAGACGCGTACTGCGATTTCCACTGGTCCCAGCATTCCTGTACCCTTCACGAATCACGAACCCTGTCCCTTCAGCTCGTTTCGTTTGTGCAGGAGGGTGTCCTTTCTAAGCATGAAGAGGACGCATCCCATGAAATTGCCCGATCTCGTGTTTGTTATCCGAACAGAGGTCGGTTTCCGTACTTCTGTGTCATTTCTCCAAATTGTGATGAGTATGACCCACCCTTAGAGGCACCACGTCCTAACCTAATCGCGTTTGAAGTAAGCTACTAGGGTAGGCAAGCTAATCGCGTGCTGACGGCATGTATTTCTGAGACACCCGACTTTCATTTCCTTTAACCTATCTCTGCACGCTAACAACTGCACTTGCTGCAATTACCGCAAGCCCAGCCGTCGTTCGCAACACGTCAACTCGTTCACGTTCGCTACCGGGATACTCCGATGGATGACGCCAGCGGTGACGCAGACAGTCCTCCGGACAGCCCGCCCTTCCGCCCGCCGCCCTCCGCCGCCGCGTTGGCGGACGATGACGACGAGGGGGAAACGCTGCTGGGGGTGCGCGCCGCCTTCCCAGCGTCGTTCGGCCGCCAGGAGGAGCGCGTCACGCCGCTCGAGGCCGTGCACGCGCAGACGGCGCGCGCACACGCGGAGCGCGCCGGGGGGAAGGGGAAGAAGAAGGCTGGGGGGATGAAGTTCAGCATCGGGCCGAGCCTAGCGAAGAGGTTAGGCGACGGGGCCAAGGCAGGGCTGGCTGGAGCAGCGGCGGGGGGAGCAGCGGCGGTAGGAGCGGCAGGCGCTGGAGCTGTGGCGGAGAGGGGAGGTGCAGGCGGAGGAGCAGAGCGGGTGGGCGGAGATGAAGCTGCGGGGGGGAGCTTGCGGGAGACGAATGGTGGTAGTGCCGCAAGTGGCTGCGCTGGTGGGGCAACCAGGGACAGGGATGGGGCAAGAGCGGTGAGGGATGGAGGAGCAACAGATGGGCGAGGAGCAGCGGTGGTGCAGGGCCAGGGCGAGGGCCAGGGCGAGGGCCAGGGCGAGGGCGAGGGCGAGGGCGAGGGCGAGGGCGAGGGCGAGGGCGAGGGCGAGGGCGAGGGCGAGGGCGAGGGCGAGGGCGAGGGGCATGCAGTGATCGGCCCTCCGCGGCCGCCGGGCCGCTTGGAGGACGGAGTTGGCGGACTGATTGGGCCGCCTGCCCCTGCTGCTCGCAGCACACAGCAGCCCGGTGGGCGGAAGAAGAGCCGCTCGACAGCGCGGCAGGATGGGGCGCACGGTGGGCAGAGGAGCGATGGCAGTGATGTGGATGACGATGAGGAGGAGGAGGAAGCAGAGGCGGAGGAGGAGGAGGAGGACGAGTTTGGAGTGCCGCTGAGCAATGAGATTGTGCTGGGGGGACACACCAAGGTGACATGATGACTGTAGCAGTGCTCCTATCTGTAGCAGCTTGTCATGATGACTGTAGCAGTGCTCCTATCTGTAGCAGCTTGTCATGATGACTGTAGCAGTGCTCCTATCTGTAGCAGCTTGTCATGATGACTGTAGCAGTGCTCGCTATCTGTAGCAGCTTGTCATGATGACTGTAGCAGTGCTCGCTATCTGTAGCAGCTTGTCATGATGACTGTAGCAGTGCTCGCTATCTGTAGCAGCTTGTCTTGTCACCACTGCTCCAGTGCCACATGGCGAGCCGCTGCGTCCCTCGCCTGCTCACCAGCCCCATTCATTTTTGCGGACTCACCTTCTCACCACCTCCCTCCTCATCACCACCTTGCTCCTCACCCCCCCACCGCGTGGCAGGCAGTGGCGGCGCTGGCGGTGGACCCAACGGGCACGAGGGTGATAAGTGGCAGCTACGACTACTCGCTGCGCTTCTACGACTTCCACGGCATGGACTCGCGCCTCAAGGCATTCCGGGAGCTCGTGCCGTTCGACGGACACCAAGTGCGCGCCGTCTCCTTCAGCCCCTCCGCTGACCTCTTCATCACCGCCACCGGCAACGCCCAGGCCAAGGTGCGCCCAGGCCAAGGTGCGTGCAGGCCAAGGTGCGCCCAGGCCAAGGTGCGCCCAGGCCAAGGTGCGCCCTGCCAAGGTGCGCCCTGCCAAGGTGCGCCGCTCCTCCTCACCTCCCCTCTTCCATACTTCATAACGCTGTTTATCCTTCCCCCTGACCTAAGTTGCCAAATACGCTATACGCTGAAGGGGTTGAGCGTATTTGGCAACTTAGCCCCTGACCAAGGCGAGTAGGATATTGTGCTCTTTTTGTCAAACCCTCTTCTCGCGCATGTTGTCCCACCCACCCACCACACACAACACAAGCCTGCTTCTGGCCGGGCCACGATTGAGGCTGCACACACCATCTCGCCCAGCCTCTCTCTTCTCTGCACACACCATCTCGCCCAGCCTCTCTCTTCTCTGCACACACCATCTCGCCCAGCCTCTCTCTTCTCTGCACACACCATCTCGCCCAGCCTCTCTCTTCTCTGCACACACCATCTCGCCCAGCCTCTCTCTTCTCTGCACACACCATCTCGCCCAGCCTCTCTCTTCTCTGCACACACCATCTCGCCCAGCCTCTCTCTTCTCTGCACACACCATCTCGCCCAGCCTCTCTCTTCTCTGCACACACCATCTCGCCCAGCCTCTCTCTTCTCTGCACACACCATCTCGCCCAGCCTCTCTCTTCTCTGCACACACCATCTCGCCCAGCCTCTCTCTTCTCTGCACACACCATCTCGCCCAGCCTCTCTCTTCTCTGCACACACCATCTCGCCCAGCCTCTCTCTTCTCTGCACACACCATCTCGCCCAGCCTCTCTCTTCTCTGCACACACCATCTCGCCCAGCCTCTCTCTTCTCTGCACACACCATCTCGCCCAGCCTCTCTCTTCTCTGCACACACCATCTCGCCCAGCCTCTCTCTTCTCTGCACACACCATCTCGCCCAGCCTCTCTCTTCTCTGCACCGCCTCGCTGCTCCCCGCCCGCTCCCTTTCTCCCTCTCCCCTCGCCCTGCAATGATGCGGTGTGGACCGTGCGGTGGTGCGATGGCAGGTGTACGACAGGGACGGGCGCAGCAAGGGCGAGATGGTGCGCGGCGACATGTACATCCGCGACCTGCGCAACACCAAGGGGCACATCGCCGGGCTCACCACCGCGCAGTGGCACCCCTGTGAGCGCCACACGGCGCTCACCGCGTCCGAGGACGGGTCGCTGCGCATCTGGGATGTGCGCGACTTCAAGTCGCAGAAGAAGGTGCGCTCATGCTCCCCCCTCCAAGTACGTACCGTACCGTGTGTTTGTGATTGGATTCGCTCCTCGTGCCCCGACTGCTGGCCAGGCAGCTTGAGAATCCCACTGTGGGCAAGCTGAATATTCTCGGGCTCCTCGCTCCTGTGCGTGACTGCCGTTCCCTGCCCTGCCGTGCCGTGCCCTGCCGTGCAGGTGGTGAAGCCGAAGCTGGGGCGGCCGGGCAGGGTGCCGGTGACAGCAGCGGAGTGGGGCCCTGATGGCCGCCTCGTGGCTGCTGGCCTCAATGATGGCTCGCTGCAGGTAGGGTACGGGATGGCCATGGCGTGGCATTATGGCGTGGCGTGGCGTGGTGGGGCGTGGCGTGGCGTGGCGGGGCGGGGCGTGGCAAGGTGTGGTGTGGAGAGAGGAACGGGGCATGTGATGTGTGTATGGTAGTGGCGTTGCCCTTTGCTGGCACGGCACGGCATGAACGGCACAACACATGTCGTCAACTTGGTGGAATTACCTCTGCACGCACCTGCCATGGCATCACGTGCACCTGCCATGGCATCACGTGCACCTGCCATGGCATCACGTCCACCTGCTGTTTGTACCTCGCATGTCTTGCTCACACGCATGTCTTGCTCACACGCATGTCTTGCTCACACGCGTGTGTGCCGTGCCGTGCTGCTGCCTCTCGCTGTGCCTCACTGTGCAGAGCCCTCCGTACCCCCGCCCGTCCTCCTCCACTTCTCCTCTCACTGCCCTTGGTCAACCCCCCATGTGTGGCTGGCAGGTGTGGAATGTGAAGTCAGGGTGGGGGTCGCTGCCGGACCTGCTGTGTGCTGACGCGCACGAGAGGGGCGACGACATCACAGGGCTCGCCTTCTGCTCCGATGCTTCCCTGCTCGTCTCCCGCTCCATGGATGGTACCATGAAGGTGACATGATGGCAGAATGAAGGTGACATGGATGGCAGCATGAAGGTGACATGGATGGCAGCATGAAGGTGACATGGATGGCAGCATGAAGGTGACATGGATGGCAGAATGAAGGTGACATGGATGGCAGCATGAAGGTGACATGGATGGCAGCATGAAGGTGACATGGATGGCAGCATGAAGGTGACATGGATGGCAGCATGAAGGTGACATGGATGGCAGCATGAAGGTGACATGGATGGCAGCATGAAGGTGACATGGATGGCAGCATGAAGGTGACATGGATGGCAGAATGAAGGTGACATGGATGGCAGCATGAAGGTGACATGGATGGCAGCATGAAGGTGACATGGATGGCTGCATGAAGGTGACATGGATGGCAGCATGAAGGTGACATGGATGGCAGCATGAAGGTGACATGGATGGCAGCATGAAGGTGACATGGATGGCAGCATGAAGGTGACATGGATGGCAGCATGAAGGTGACATGGATGGCAGCATGAAGGTGACATGGATGGCAGCATGAAGGTGACATGGATGGCAGCATGAAGGTGACATGGATGGCAGCATGAAGGTGACATGGATGGCAGCATGAAGGTGACATGGATGGCAGCATGAAGGTGACATGGATGGCAGCATGAAGGTGACATGGATGGCAGCATGAAGGTGACATGGATGGCAGCATGAAGGTGACATGGATGGCAGCATGAAGGTGACATGGATGGCAGCATGAAGGTGACATGGTTGGCAGCATGAAGGTGACATGGATGGCAGCATGAAGGTGGCATGGTTGGCAGCATGAAGGTGACATGGATGGCAGCATGAAGGTGACATGGATGGCAGCATGAAGGTGACATGGATGGCAGCATGAAGGTGACATGGATGGCAGCATGACGGTGACATGGATGGCAGCATGAAGGTGACATGGATGGCAGCATGACGGTGACATGGATGGCAGCATGAAGGTGACATGGATGGCAGCATGAAGGTGACATGGATGGCAGCATGAAGGTGACATGGATGGCAGCATGAAGGTGACATGGTTGGCAGCATGAAGGTGACATGGATGGCAGCATGAAGGTGACATGGATGGCAGCATGAAGGTGACATGGATGGCAGCATGAAGGTGACATGGATGGCAGCATGAAGGTGACATGGGTGGCAGCATGAAGGTGACATGGTTGGCAGCATGAAGGTGACATGGATGGCAGCATGAAGGTGACATGGTTGGCAGCATGAAGGTGACATGGATGGCAGCATGAAGGTGACATGGATGGCAGCATGAAGGTGACATGGATGGCAGCATGAAGGTGACATGGATGGCAGCATGAAGGTGACATGGATGGCAGAATGAAGGTGACATGGATGGCAGCATGAAGGTGACATGGATGGCAGCATGAAGGTGACATGGATGGCAGCATGAAGGTGACATGGATGGCAGCATGAAGGTGACATGGATGGCAGCATGAAGGTGACATGGATGGCAGCATGAAGGTGACATGGATGGCAGCATGAAGGTGACATGGATGGCAGCATGAAGGTGACATGGATGGCAGCATGAAGGTGACATGGATGGCAGCATGAAGGTGACATGGATGGCAGCATGAAGGTGACATGGATGGCAGCATGAAGGTGACATGGATGGCAGCATGAAGGTGACATGGATGGCAGCATGAAGGTGACATGGATGGCAGCATGAAGGTGACATGGATGGCAGCATGAAGGTGACATGGATGGCAGCATGAAGGTGACATGGATGGCAGCATGAAGGTGACATGGATGGCAGCATGAAGGTGACATGGTTGGCAGCATGAAGGTGACATGGATGGCAGCATGAAGGTGGCATGGTTGGCAGCATGAAGGTGACATGGATGGCAGCATGAAGGTGACATGGATGGCAGCATGAAGGTGACATGGATGGCAGCATGAAGGTGACATGGATGGCAGCATGACGGTGACATGGATGGCAGCATGAAGGTGACATGGATGGCAGCATGACGGTGACATGGATGGCAGCATGAAGGTGACATGGATGGCAGCATGAAGGTGACATGGATGGCAGCATGAAGGTGACATGGATGGCAGCATGAAGGTGACATGGTTGGCAGCATGAAGGTGACATGGATGGCAGCATGAAGGTGACATGGATGGCAGCATGAAGGTGACATGGATGGCAGCATGAAGGTGACATGGATGGCAGCATGAAGGTGACATGGGTGGCAGCATGAAGGTGACATGGTTGGCAGCATGAAGGTGACATGGATGGCAGCATGAAGGTGACATGGTTGGCAGCATGAAGGTGACATGGATGGCAGCATGAAGGTGACATGGATGGCAGCATGAAGGTGACATGGATGGCAGCATGAAGGTGACATGGATGGCAGCATGAAGGTGACATGGATGGCAGCATGAAGGCGACATGGATGGCAGCATGAAGGTGACATGGATGGCACCATGAAGGTGACATGGATGGCAGCATGAAGGTGACATGGATGGCAGCATGAAGGTGACATGGATGGCAGCATGAAGGTGACGCGTGCGCTGCACCTCCAACTCTCATTCTCCTGCTCTGCCTCAAGCAAGCTGCTCTGCCTCAAGCAAGCTGCTCTGCCTCAAGCAAGCTGCTCTGCCTCAAGCAAGCTGCTCTGCCTCAAGCAAGCTGCTCTGCCTCAAGCAAGCTGCTCTGCCTCAAGCAAGCTGCTCTGCCTCAAGCAAGCTGCTCTGCCTCAAGCAAGCTGCTCTGCCTCAAGCAAGCTGCTCTGCCTCAAGCAAGCTGCTCTGCCTCAAGCAAGCTGCTCTGCCTCAAGCAAGCTGCTCTGCCTCAAGCAAGCTGCTCTGCCTCAAGCAAGCTGCTCTGCCTCAAGCAAGCTGCTCCCGTGCACTCGTTGTCTTGGTCTCTCACCATCGCCTGTGAGGGTGCCTGTGGAGCACCCCTGTCACTGTCATCAGAATGGATGCTGGCATCAGAATGGATGCTGGCATCAGAATGGATGCTGGCATCAGAATGGATGCTGGCATCAGAATGGATGCTGGCATCAGAATGGATGCTGTCATCAGAATGGATGCTGGCATCAGAATGGATGCTGGCATCAGAATGGATGCTGGCATCCGAATGGATGCTGGCATCAGAATGGATGCTGGCATCAGAATGGATGCTGGCATCAGAATGGATGCTGGCATCAGAATGGATGCTGGCATCAGAATGGATGCTGGCATCAGAATGGATGCTGGCATCAGAATGGATGCTGGCATCAGAATGGATGCTGGCATCAGAATGGATGCTGGCATCAGAATGGATGCTGGCATCAGAATGGATGCTGGCATCAGAATGGATGCTGGCATCAGAATGGATGCTGGCATCAGAATGGATGCTGTCATCAGAATGGATGCTGGCATCAGAATGGATGCTGGCATCAGAATGGATGCTGGCATCAGAATGGATGCTGGCATCAGAACATCAGAATGGATGCTGGCATCAGAATGGATGCTGGCATCAGAATGGATGCTGGCATCAGAATGGATGCTGGCATCAGAATGGATGCTGGCATCAGAATGGATGCTGTCATCAGAATGGATGCTGGCATCAGAATGGATGCTGGCATCGGTTCGTTAACACTCCACCAACTCTTCTTGTCTCCTTCTCTTTCCCATCCCTCCATTCGTTTTCCATCTCTTCCTCATCCTTTCTCATTCCCATCCTCTGATTCCCATATTCCATATCTCACGCATCCCTTATCCACTTCCCTTATTCCGCCCAACCTGAACCTATGTCATATTTCCCTTATCCCTGATTCCCCTGTTCCTTGATTCCCCTTATTCCCCCCCCTCCCCCACCTCTTATTCCCCCCCCCCACCATCATATCTTACCGATCTCTTATTCTCCTTGTCCCTTATCCCCCCCTTTTCCGCATCCCCATTGTACCTTATTCATCCCTTGCTTTTCCCCATTTCCCCATCTTCTACCATCCCCCTATTCCCCCTCCCCACCCCCCCCACTCGTCCGCAGGTGTGGGACGTGCGCAAGTTCAAGCAGCCAGTGAGGGCGCTCTGGGACCTGCCGAACCACTACCAGCAGACCAACGTGGCGTGGAGCCTACTTTTGAGACGTCCCAAAAGTCAGCCCCCCCGCCCGTCCCCCCCCCTCGTCCGCAGGTGTGGGATGTGCGCAAGTTCAAGCAGCCAGTGAGGGTGTACGCGGACCTGCCGAACCACTACCAGCAGACCAACGTGGCGTGGAGCCCCGACGAGCGCCTCTTCTTCACCGGCACCTCTGCAGAGAAAGGCGGGCGCGGCGGGCAGGTGAGGGTGGGGGGAGAGAATGAGCGCAGGCGGGTGGTGTTGGAGAGACGAGGAGTTGAGCGAAAGGAAGGTGACAGGCAGGCAAGGTAGCTCAGGGCTGCATGCAGAAATCTCCGTACTCCTTATTGGAACGCAAGCTGGGGTGGTGCATGGTGAGTTAGCGCAGGAAGAGAAGAATATTCAGGAATGGAGAGGGTGAGGAATGGAGAATATTCAGGAATGGAGAGGGTGAGGAATGGAGAATATTCAGGAATGGAGAGGGTGAAGAATTCAAAAATATTCAGGAATATTCAGGAATGGCGCCTTAAATCTCCGGTAGTCTCGTCTCCACCATTCTCTCACCCTGCCCTCCTAACTTCACCTCTTGCACCTTGCTGTTTTCCTGCTCTAGCTGCTCGTCTATCTCCTCCAGCTAGTGTGGGTGCGTGCATGTTGTGGGGGATGGATTCCCTCGCATCACTGTGCCATCCTCCTCGCACTCGTCTTGGTCCGCTCAAAGCGGGTGCATGGCTCAGCAGCTGGAGATTGCCACGAGGCAACCTTGAACCGGGCTCTGTCACATTGATCAACATGTAAAGAAGACGTGTACTTCATTTCAAAGTCTTTGTAGGGTATGAGCCCTATGGAACTGATTCTCAACTGAATCCAACGCCAGGACAGCTAGCATAGCATTCATTTGCCAGTTTCGCAACGCTGCCATGCTTATTTTGTCTTCCCACCCCCCGCCCCACGCGCATCCCATGTGTCGTGACATGTGGCCTCACCTCACCTCACCCCATACAGCTGCACTTCTACTCCAAGGAGTCGCTTGACCTTGTGCGCGCATTGAGGTGTATTTTGAGGCGCCTCAAAATTAACATGTGGCCTCACCTCACCTCACCTCACTTCACCTCACCTCACCTCACCTCACCCCATGCAGCTGCACTTCTACTCCAAGGAGTCGCTGAACCTCGTGCGCGTCACGGGCGTGTCCCCCGACCAGAGCGTTGTGCGCGTGCTGTGGCACGCACGCCTCAACCAGGTGGGTGCTGTTGCACGCACGCCTCAACCAGGTGGGTGCTGTTCTCTCCCATCTCTACCGAATCGATACTGCTTCCTACCTCACTGTCACTTCTTTCATGTTTTCATCTCCTTCCTTTCCCATCAAGTCCATCTCCCCATTGGTTTCTCACCACAAGAGCCAACAGCCGCCAGGTAAAACCCATGGCAACCCCAACCCTTATCTCATGTGCGACCGTTTTCATCTGCCCCTTCCCCTCATGAACCCGCCCCCCCCCCCACCCCCCCCCCCCCCCCCTCGCCCAATTCCACCAGATATTCGCCACATGTGGCGACAAGAAGGCGGGCGGGACGCACATCCTCTACGACCCCACGCTCAGCGAGCGCGGTGCGCTGGTGTGCGTGGCGCGTGCCCCCCGCGCGCCGCGCCCCGAGGACCTGTGTGCGCGCGTGGCGGCGCCTGCCATCCGCAACCCGCACGCGCTGCCCATGTTCCGCGACGAGCCGAGCCGCAAGCGGCAGCGCGAGAAGGCGCGCAAAGACCCCGTGGCGAGCCAGCGCCCCGACCTGCCCATGGAGGGACCGGGGCACGGCGGGCGCGTGGGGCAGACAAAGGGCACCCTGCTCACCCAGTACCTGCTCCGCGTGCGTGCTGCCGCCTGCTGCTTGCTGCCGCCTGCTGCTTGCTGCCTGCTGCCTGCATGCTTCGTTGTGCTGCTCTGGCAGTTATTGCTGGACTTTTTTGGAGCATTAGAATGGATGCTGGCAGTAGTTCACAGCCCGAGAACGACTGCTAGGAGAGCAAGCTTCCCTTTTCATGACTTCCTCTCTTCTCCTGAATCCCTTCCTCATGTCCCCAACCACTTCCCGCCTTGTAAACCTTTCCCACGTGTGCGTGCATTGCTTGGCAGGAGGGCGGGCTGCTGAAGGAGACGTGGATGGAGGAGGACCCGCGAGAGGCCATCCTCAAGTACGCCGACGCGGCCGCCAAGGACCCGCAGATCATCGCCCCCGCCTACGCTGCCACGCAGCCCACCACGCTGTTCCACGAGTCCGATGACGAGGACAAGGACTAGCGCTCAGTCAGTCGCTGGCACACACTCCAATGCGCTCAGTCGCGCATCTCCTCTTTCCACTGACATGGAGGTTTGGGATTCACGTCAACACTGAGCAGTCATAGATTAGCCAAGAGTCGAGCAAAAACGGTGGTTTTTATCATCAACAACACAAGGGAGAATCTCAAGTGCGTAGCCTTCGGTTTGGAGTGGCATTTCTGGATAACGTACCTGCATTTGAGTGTACATGGCACTGCATTGCCAATCCATTCTGGATTAAACATTAATTCTAAAGTATGCAGAACAAAGGCTTCAACGTTTTACATTATATAAGAGTTAGCTATATCAAGATGGTTCCTACAGCAATTGGGTGTCATGTTGCTACTTTCAAGCTATTCCCACATCACTCAAGCCTGGAGCCATCTGTCAGGGGCGCTCAAGCCTGGATGATGACGGTATGCGGTGTTTTGCAAGATGTTGTACCTACCATACTTCAGAGACTTGAGTATATGAGCCCCTAGGGGCGTCTGCCTGGTCGATTACGGTTACGGTAATCTTGCGTAACATTTTGTACAGTGAATGTACACATAATAGGTATGCACAAAGGTGCTGTATCCCGATGAATAAAGAAAGAACCAATTAGACGGAACAATGCGTGAGCAACTGCAAGCTGGGGCAAAGAGCACCACTCTAAAGCTCTGAGAACGCCACATCCATACAGTCCACGAGGAAGTCTGTGAGGGTAGGGGGCAGGAACAAAAAATGAGAGTTAACCTGAAGAGACAAATCGAACACGATGTGCATGGAAAGGGGACCATACTGGAAGCAAACTGACCCTGAAACACCTCATCGGTGCTGATTATAGAGAGTGCGACACGCATGATGTGCACTCCCCTTGCCATCTCGCTCTCCCCCTGCCATCTTGCTTCCCCCCTGCCATCGCACTCTCCCCCTGCCATCGCACTCTCCCCCTGCCATCGCACTCTCCCCCTGCCATCATACCCTCCTCCTATCAGGTGCATGGTTTTCATGAGGTGCGTACCAGCATCGGCCGTGGTGAAGCACATGGGTGGCTTGATGCGGAAGACATTCCCGTAGTGCCCTCCCTTGCCCACCAGCACGCCCAGATCTGCCGCACATGGGATACGGCAGGAGGACACATGCGGGAGAGGCAGCGCATGGGGTAGAGGCAGCGCATGGGGCAGAGGCAGTGCATGGGGAAGAGGCAGTGCATGGGGTAGAGGCAGTGCATGGGGAAGAGGCAGTGCATGGGGTAGAGGCAGTGCATGGGGTAGAGGCAGTGCATGGGGTAGAGGCAGTGCATGGGGTAGAGGCAGTGCATGGGGTAGAGGCAGTGCATGGGGTAGAGGCAGTGCATGGGGTAGAGGCAGTGCATGGGGTAGAGGCAGTGCATGGGGTAGAGGCAGTGCATGGGGTAGAGGCAGTGGAGAATTCCTTGGCAGGGCAGCAAGAGACCGCACGAACAGTATCCTCCCCTGCCCAGCCATCCTGCCCACCACTGTACCCACCAGCCGTACCCACCAGCCGTACCCACCAGCAGTACCCACCAGGCCTGCCCAGCAGCACAGGGATGGCGCACTGGCTTGTGAGAATTCCCTCAAGGCATCCCTTTGAAACGGGTCTGAGAAGCACGCAGAGGTTTGAATTCAATGATCCACCTGGGTACAACACGAGGCTATATATAGTCTCGACACAAGGCCAGTTACCCAGGTGTTACGCGAATGTTCTGAGGGTCGCGAAGCGCCCCGGACAGAACCTTCCCGAACTCAGTAGAAAGCAATTCGGTGGAAACCGAATAGGCTTGAGTTCGGTACACGTAACTTGGTTCGGTGCTATAACTATAATTAAGTATAGGAATGCACCTAACCTAGGAAATCAAGCATATCTATGCATGATAAAATAAACCCAAGCTAGATATAGCATAATAAAGTCCAGGCAAGCTAGCAAAGCCAGCATAAGCCGTCGCACTCTCACAATAGTGACCCGTCTCCCTGACTCTCTTCGCTCAGTCAGGGACCACTTTCTCCCTCGCTCTCCCACCAATCTCACTGTCGACCTCCTAGAGGAGCAGCTTCTAGCCGCCGAGACTAGCATAGTCACTGTAGGTGCTGCTCGTGGCGCTCCTCGCACCTCCATCTTTGAGGGGTGCTCTCCCTCTCCCCTCGCCCCCTCCTACGCTACTGCCGCTGCTGTTGACTACCTTGGTGCTGAGTCTGTTGGTGCTGCTTCTACTCCTAGTGGGAGGCGCCGCAGCGGCAAGGGCAAGGGGGCCAAGGGTAGCGGAGGTGGCACCGGGGGGGGTGGTGGTGGAGGAGGTGGAGGAGGAGGTGGTGGCGGAGGGAGTGGTGGCGGGAGTGCTGGCGGGAGTGGTGGCGTCGGTGGCGGCGGTGGGAGTGGCGGTGGAGGCGGTGGTGGCGGAGGGGGTGGCGGCGGCAGTGGCGGCGGTGGTGGTGGCCGGGGCGGCGTTGGCGGCGGCGGTGGCGGTCGGGGCGGAGGCGCTGGCGCTGGTCAGAGACAGCAGCAGCTGTAGCGTCCCCGTGAGGCACTAACGCCGCAGCAGCTTCGTGAGTGGCTTGCTCAGCATGGGACGTCTGGGGGTAGTGGTCGCTGCCCGTATGTCATTCGCACAGGTGACCGCGCTGGTCAGACATGCGAGAAGTTCCACACTCAGCACCACTACTTCTCCCGCCTTGACGACGCCTGGCGTGAGGAGATGGTCGAGGAGGTCGAGCGCCCTCGCTGGCATGAGTTGCTTAGGGCTGGTGTAGACATCTTTGCTCTTGACTATGATGCTATCCTTGCTGCCATGTATGCATTGACTGTTAGTGCTGAGGGAGACTGTTACTTGTGTGTGCCGCCTGACCCAGGTATAGAGGCTGCTGCCTTACGTGCGAGCGAGTCTGCTCTCTCAAGTACTACGCCTGCTGAGGCCTTGCACACCTTCATGCTTGACTCAGGTGCTTCCCGCTGTTTCTTTCGTGACAGGGTTGCACTCACACCACTCACTGCACCTGTTGCAGTCTCTCTGGCTGACCCCTCAGGGGACCCAGTTCTTGCACGGTCCACCACTGTGCTCCCGTGCCCGGCGGTTCCGTCTGGCTCACTGACAGGCTTCCACCTCCCCTCGTTCTCTACGAACTTGGTGAGCAACGCAATTCTCCAGGACCAGTGGGTTGACACCTTTATCCCTGGAGGACAACGTGTGGCGATCTGTACGTGCTCCCGGACTGGCCGCCCCCTAGCCACGTCTACCCGTCGGCCAGGGTCGAGTCTTTACACACTAATGACTGCGCCTCCTCAGGTCACTGCTACCGGTCAGGTGTCAGCTCCTTGTGTCTGGTCTTCCCAGGTCTCTCCCTCCCCTCCCTGCCTCGCCTGCGCCGCCCTGCCTTCCTTGCGTCGAGGGGTGGCAGCGCGCCGCTCCTCACTCCTCCTCGTTTCCCCCGACAGAGGCTCCCCTGCAGACCCTCCACATGGACGTGTGTGGCCCAGCCCGCGTTCGTGGACAGGGCGGTGCGCGGTACTTTCTGCTGTTGTCGACCACTACTCGCGTTACACCACGGTCTTCCCCTTGCGCACCAAGGGTGAGGTCCCTGATGTCCTGATCCCTTGGATCCGAGCAGTTCGTCTCCAGCTCCGCGAGCGGTTCCGCCAGGACCTCCCTGTCCTGCGTCTGCATTCTGACAGAGGTGGTGAGTTCTCCTCCGACCTCTTGCGGGCCTTCTGTCAGGGGGAGGGCATCCTCCACTCGTTCATGCTTCCGGCCTCACCGCAGCAAAATGGGGTTGTTGAGCGCCGCATTGGCTTGGTCATGGAGATCGCTCGTACCTCCTTGATCCATGCGGCAGCTCCCCATTTTCTGTGGCCGTTTGCGGTCCGGTACACCGCACAGCAGCTCAACATCTGGGCCCGTGTCTCCTTGCCGGAGACTTCGCCGACACTGCGTTGGACGGGAGAGGTTGTCGATGCGTTGGTGTTCCGGGTCTGGGGTGCTCGTGCCTTTGTCCGCGATACGTCCGCGGACAAGCTCTCCTCTCGCACCCTGCCCTGTGTCTTCCTCGGCTTCCCCACTGACGCGCCTGGCTGGTAGTTTTACCACCCCACCTCGCGAAGTGTTCTGTCCTCTCAGGACGTCACCTTTGACGAGTCGGTTCCTTTCTACCATCTCTTCCCCTACCGCACTGCCCCTCTCCCTCCCCCGCCGCTTTTCCTCGCTCCAGGTCCCCCTCCGGTAGACCCCCTCCCTCCTCAAGGTCCTGCTCCTTCATGTGTGTCTCAGGTAGACCCACTCCCCTTGGCTGAGCCTGTGGAGGTCACTAGCGACTCAGGTGCTGCTGCGGGTGGTGCTGCTCGGGGTGCTGCGTCTGGGGGTGTTGAGCCTGTCCGTAAGGTGCTGGGGGGTGCTGCGTCTGGGGGTGCTGAGCCTGGGGGTGCTGAGCCTGGGGGTGCTGAGCCTACTAGTGCGGAGCCTGGGGGTGCTGAGCCGGAGGGTGCCGGGTCTGGGGGTACTGAGTCTGCTGGTGTTTCTCCGGGTCGCTTTTCACGACGAGGGCCTCTCTCACCACAGCAGCTATGAGAGTGGCTTGCGTGGCTTGCCCGCCTTAGGAGTCGTGCTGCTGGAGCTGGAGGTTCTGCTGCTGGAGGTACTGCTGCTCGAGGTACTGCGGTTGGAGCTACTGGAGCTGCTCGCCGTGGAGGCACTGAGGGTGCTGGTGTTTCTGGTTCAGGAGGTGCTCGTACTGGAGGTACTGGAGCTGCCAGGACTAGTGGTACTGCTGGAGCTGGTAGTGCTGGTTCTGGGGGTGTTACTGCTGGTGGCACTGGAGCTGGTGCTGTCGACCCTGGAGTTGGAGACCCTGGAGCTGGGGTTGCCGGTGCTGGAGACACTGGAGCTGGAGACCTTGGAGCTGGAGGCGCTGGAGCTGGAGGCGCTGGAGCTGGAGGTTCTGGCACTGGAGGCGTCGGGGCTGGTGGCCCTGGAGCTGGAGCTGCTGGTCCTGGAGGTGATGGTTCTGGAGGTGCTGGAGCTGCCCGAGCTGGTGGCACTACGGGCGCTGGAGCTGGAGGCGCTGGCGCTGGAGGTGCTGGAGCTGGAGGTTCTGGAGATGCTGGTAGTGCTAGAGCTGCTGGTCCGGGAGGTGCTAGTACTGGAGGTCCTGGCACTACCGGAGCTGGTGGTGCTGCTGGTGCTGGAGGTACTGGTGGTACTGCACAGCAGCGACTGTTCTTCGCTCCACCGTCACCGCCGTCTCTGCCGCCGCCTGACTCAGCGCTTCGCCAGGTTCTTAGCCTCCTGTCTTCTACTGGTCTTCAGTTACAGCCTGGCTCCTCACTGCCTGCTCCCTCTCCTTACACTGAGCAAACAGGAGGTCTTACTGAGCGTCGTGAGCCTGCGTCTCGTCCTGCCTTGCCTGTTCGCGCTGGTCGCACTGGTCGTTGAGTTCCTCATGAGCGTCCTCCTCCTGTCCTCGGCACGCACACTATGGCACTTCGTCCTTCCTCTGTTCCACAGCGTGTCCCTCTGCCTTCTCCTCATGCGTCCTCCCTTGCTGACGGTCCGGACCCGGAGTCTGACTCACTTCGTGCTGCCAGCCCTACTGTCACGCGTCTTCTAGCTACTGTTGTCACTGACCCTTCCTTTGAGTCCACTGTTGCGTCTGCCTTAGTTGCTGAGCTTGTCGACTTTGCTGCACGCTGTCGTCTCAACTACGCCACTAGTCTTGTTGCTGAGTCTGAGTCTGTCTGTCCTCCGTCCGTCGGGGGTGACTGTGCTCTTGGCACGGATGTCCTTGAGGACAGGCAGGAGGACTTTGAGTGCTTTGCGGCCGCTGTACCTCATCTCGTGTCCATGCTGATTGCACCTGAGGGAGACCCGGATGCACCAGACATCCCGACCCCGCGCTCTTACGCAGAGGCGGTTGAGGGTCCCTACTCCTCTCAGTGGCAGTCCGCCATGGATGCAGAGATGGCATCCTGAAAGTCCACAGGCACTTACGTCGACGCTGCTCCCCCACCTGGGGCGAACATCGTCAGTGGCATGTGGATTTTCAGGGTGAAGCGACCGCCAGGTTCTCCGCCTGTTTTCAAGGCACGTTACGTTGCACGAGGTTTCAGTCAGTGACAAGGAGTTGACTTTTTCCAGACCTTCTCCCCTACCCCGAAGATGACCACTCTTCGGGTTCTGCTGCACGTTGCCGCTCAGCGTGACTACGAGCTTCACTCTCTTGACTTCAGCACAAATTTCCTACAGTGGACTACGACACACTAAGGACGACGCTTTCGGCTCTTGGGTTTGCTCCTTCGACTGCTGACCCGTCGCTGTTTCTGCGCACCGACACTTCGCTGTCGCCGTTCTACATCCTCGTGTACATTGACGACTTGGTCTTTGCCACTGCTGACACTGAGGGACTC